AAATCAGAAGATTTACTGGCATTTACAGATTTTCAGGAAGCATTTATTCTTTAGCAGATTGATTGATTTTAAAAATCAGGGTTTATGTTTTGGGGTTTTTTACTAGCCCTGGATAGGAAATATTGCTGGCATAGTCAGCGTTGGAGTGTAGAATATACAAGCTGTTAATTTGATTCCGTGGGCATCAATGTAGGCTAGCCATGACTGCAAGCTGTTGATATGCTTCTCTTCACCAGCAAAGGCTGGAAACTTTAGGTATAAAACTAGGCCCAAATTTGCCACTAAAGGTGTTTCTGCAAATCCTACTGCCTGCAGAAGCAGCTGAGTGCATGTACCTATCCAGAGGGGAAAATTAGAAAGCTCTAATACAAGTCAGCAGTTAGTAACAAGGCTTTGAATCCAAGTACCGCCCAAGTGAGCAAGTACAGGAGAGCTCTTCCATTTTCTGACTTTTGTGCATGAACTGTCATTTTAACAAAAGTTGGAAATGTGAATATCATAAAGGTGAACCTCTTATCAAACCCTGTGTTTCCAAGGTAGCTTAATAATGTTGACTGACTTCAGATCTACATGGTGATATAGTTACATGACCTCAGTTTTGAATTGACCACTTACTATAAATTTTATTTTACCTAAGTTGATACTAGCAAGAGCAACATTTATACCTGCATGGTGTTCCAAAGTAAATTATGGAAATCATATTACTCCTTTACAGAATCAGTTATTTAATTTCATATTATTCATTTGTATGCAGGATTTTTTAGAAATTGTTTTGAGGATTAGTTTCCCTTACTGGAAAAAAAAAAAAAGTTAGAACTTAGGGAAAGAACAGTCTAGTCTGGTTACCTAGTTTGAGCAGTCGTAAACCTCTTCCAGGAATTACTTTACTGGAAGAACTAAGGCACATTTGTTAGAACCAACATTAAAAACTTTGAAGAATGGCTGGTGTCTAGTAGGTACCAAATATCTAGACATTACTTATTTCTGGCTGAAAGCTTTGCCTAAGTAGATAGTAACATGTAAGATGCCTCACATCATGGGCACCCCCACTGACATTAGAGGAAGTTATAGAGTGTTGTGGTGATCAACACTATCCACAAGGCACTTTCCTAACTATTACTTTCTAAACAGTTTTCTTTTTATCGTGATTATAGCATGATAATTAAATGAAGAATCTTGTTATGTTTTGAATTATTGACTATGTGATGTATTTGGCAAATGAATATGTAGAGCACACTCATGTCACAGCCAAGTGATACCAAACTAGGCTCCCTAAACTGTCACTAACTTCCATCCATCCAGCATCTAGAAGATGGTTGTGGGCACTGCCCTTCAGAAAAGAATGCCTGCTTTTTTCTAAGAAAATCCAGTGTCGCAGTTCACTATATGCTTTCCAGGTCTCCTGTGCCTCAATAGCAAGCTAGTTGTATTTTGTCATGCAATGCCCTCAAAGAGCAATTCTACGTATACTTTTGTCCTTTTGTCCTGCCTTGAAAATGTGCAGATAATAAATAGATTTTTCCACTTCCCCAAACCTCGTTGATGCCTTGTGAAGGCTGACCTAGAACAGAGGCTAGACAGAGTTAAAGAAATAAAGCAGGTATTTATTAAAAGGTCTCAATGGATACACCTTGGGCAGTACAGGAGTCCAGCCAGGGCTACACCCAAGATGAACCAAAATGGTCACAAATGGATGACTGGTCACAGGGTCTCTCACCTGTATAAGTTGTGGTCCATTAGCATATTGTAGTTAATTGTCCAATTATTATGAAGTCCCATCCTTCTTGTTTTTCTCTCTTCAGTCCACATTGTTTATGCTCTTGGGCCTGAAATTTGGGTCGTTGTCCTTGGTCCCAAGCTAGGAAAGGAATTCTTTTGTCTAGCTACTCTGAGAAGAGAGCTTACTATCCTTTAATATGAAGCTCAGAAGTACACACTAAAGCAGTACAGAATTTGAAAAGTATAAAAGCTAAAACCTAAGGCATCATGTTTTATGGAGGAAATGAGTCTTTCCACATTATTTGGGCCTCCAGCTTTTTGTTGACATTTTACTTCATGCATGAGTTTGGATGTAAGGCTCTGTGAGATGACTCTACACTGTTGTGGGTTAGCTCTGAGTCTCACATTCCATTCACCTAGGCCACCTGTAGCCTTCTGTCAGTTACAGAAACTTCCTACCAGTGCAGAGCTTTTCTGGGAACTTATGTAAGGGCAAAATTCAAAGTTGGCTTCACAAGAAGGTCAAGTTGCTTAACCACATTCACTAACACACTACTTAGCCCATATTTAGTCCTTTCTTATGTATAACAAGTATATTATCTTTAATCATATTTATTGTTACTTGGTAACAAAGTTCATCTCGTAATTATTCTACTTTTTAATTACTGTTCTTGCTCATTTGCTTTTCAAAGTCAAGGGCTCCATGGTACAAGTTCTGCTTGAGAAACACATGTGGTGTTCCCCAGGGATTGTATTCCATCACAGCACTCAAATTATTTGTTTTACATACTCCTAGCCTGTGTGAAGAAATTTGAATTGTTTCAAAGTGTAATATAATCAAATCATAGAGTTTATGCCTCAGATAGGATAGGCAGATCCAGAACAGAGGGGAAAACAACAGTTACTTCGTTTTGCAATGTGGAATAGATGGTGTTCCCATTGTATGTCTCTTTTGTCACATCAGGCAGAATGAACTTGCCCATGGTGTTGCTTTCTAGAAGCAAAAGTCAGCTGGTTCATTGATTCCAGGACGTATGGTGAAATCACAGTGCTGATTTTTGGAGAGGATGGATTAAGGGTATGAAGTAAAAATGCCTGGAATTACCTAATTGGTCAATGACTGAAGTTGCTTTACTTTCCGGCAATTAGGTTACGCTGGAAAACAGGCACATGCTTCATATCACTGGATGTGCAGCTTAGCAACTCACCCCTGATTCAGAAGTTCAGAGCAATAGTAGTATAGAAGGGATGGAAATGTGTCACAACTTAGGGAACAGTCCTTGCCGGGTGCTACTGGCATAGTCATCTTCCAAGTAGCCATTCTTTGGTGAAAGTAAAAAACTAGGGTATTGTTTTTCTCACATGGCATATGATTCTATTTTTATGTGTCTAATAGGACTGTTTATTTCCAGGCTAGGATGGTGTGACATAGTACTTCCTGCAAATCTTTGTTATCATCTTTCATTTACATGAACACAGCAGCTTTTGAATGCAAGTTTAATTTCTCAGTGGACTTTCAGCCACTGGTAGCCTCTTATTTTGTAGAGTTAAAGCATGCTAACATCTCTGCTTCAGAAATGTTTTTCAAAAGGTAGGACTTAAAAGTTAAGTGGAACTCCCACAGTCCTCATCTCTCTGGCTTCTGCTGCGGTACCCAGTGATGATCCTCAGCATGGTTGTCCCTCTTTCTTTTATCTTGTCTTTCCAGCTCTTGCTGTGGTGAGAGCATGTCAGAGCCTGTGTGGAGTTTATGACGAGTGAGTCCGAGTTCTTTGCTTTTACAAAAACCTCTTAAAATCTCCTTCTTTGTGGGTCTGTGCCAGTTACTATATATCCAGTTGTGGTTTTGGTGAAGGTGTCTATATCCTCATTCATATCCAGCATCGCTTTGCCATTATGCGCTGTTGAGAATCTGTGCCTTACAGTCAGTGTTTCTTTAGGGCTGGACAAAGGCAGCCTCTCTTCCAAAACTAATTGGGGCAAGTCTGGTTAAGTTTCCTAAGTTTCAGTCTTGGCTCCATGGGAAGTTCTTAGACATCTACTCTGTAGATGTTCTAGTATTTGAACACAGTCACATGGTGATATCCTTTGCCATGAGGCACGTCTGGAGGTCTGTCACACCGGGTTCCCCTATAACATTTCAGTGTAGCTCAGATTAGAAGATTTTTTAATTGGAAAAACAAAACAAAACAGCAGCAACAAAAGCCTGTGCACTTGTTTCTGTTGCATGGTTGTGGAGATCATGTTTGTACTGCTAATATTTCACATGATGAGATATTAGCTTTCCTAACTGATGGGTGTGGTTGTGCTGGCAAAGTACCTGAAGGAATGTCATTATCTTGTTGGAAATGACGTTGGCCATGCAGCAGGGGCCAGTCTCCTGTTACAGTCTGTGACAATCTGGTGCCCAGTGGAGCTGCAGTGCTGGTTCAGCCAGATGTGCCAGCTTCTGCTCGAGATGCAGACCAGACCCCCAGCTGCTGGTAGCTGCTGCCATCTCGCAGCACTTTGAGCGAGAGCAGAAATTCCAGCCCTCGCCGCCTCTCCTAAGCACAGCCCAGGCAGTTATTTTCTGCCTACTACGAGTAACCTGCTGGTTAAGATGCAAGTAGTACTTTGAATTTCCTCGCTTGAAGTCTTGACCAATGGCTCTGTTAAGTGAGTAGAAATACTTGCAGCCATACGTTTTTAAAGTACATTGCTTAGATTCATTCTTGTAGGGGGGGGAAAAAAAAGCATCTAGTGTTTCCATACCTGCTGTAGGCCAACACTAAACTCCTATAAAATTCCAACCAAGATTGCTTGTACATACATGGGAGATGTTTTGATGAATTTTTTTAAGCAGATAGAGGGGTTTGTATGGTGAGAAAATGTGTTAATCACCTTAACTCTTTAATTTTTAAAAATACCCTGTAGATCAGCAGATTCTTGTGGGGGAAAAAAGGTCGTCTCTAGATTCAGTTTTATTGTCTGGCTATTTCAGCTGTCATAAATTAATTCTCAAGTTATCTTCTCTGCAAGATAGCTGTACAGTATAACGAATTAAGATTGAGCTCTTTTTTGAAATTTATAATCTTGTTGAAATGACAGAGAGCTCATGTGGCATACAAGGTCAGTTGCTATGTTATATATAACTTCTTGTTTTCATCTCCTACTGTTCTTGCAGGGAACTAAAAATGTTTTAGACAACAGATGTGGAACACTTAAAATATTTGGAATGTGTGGGAATATACTGAGGGACCACCTGTCCTGCAACGTGAAAGACAGAATTGGTTTGTGAGCATTATTGGTTACTCCTGCAGTGAACAAAAGGACTCATGTTAAAAGTAAAGCAGAATGAAAACTATGGGGCACTAGGTTGGCTTTACTCAAGGAAACATGGGGAAGAAAGTTGAATTGACAAGTTAAATACTTCTTAGTATTTAGCAATAATCCACATTTGAGTTTCCCTTAATAAGTGTAGCCTAGAGCAGTTACTCATTCTTAGGAAGCTCATGGTTAAGAAATAAAAAACCAGAATTTATGTGATTTAACCTAAAATAAGGTATTTTATTTATTGTATGACTACTTCCACTAGTCAGATCCTATCTGTTTAGTTACTAATTAACGATTGCAGCTAGTAATGACTACATTGGCTATCCTTTGTGAAACCAACAAAACCCCACAAATTAATTATTTATATTGTAGAAAATTAAGGCTTTAATAATAATTGGATTGCTAAGGATGTTGAGCTGGTTTCTTCCTGGTGTCTATTTTTCTACACTTTTGCTACTCATTGACTAAAGTAAACAAATGGTATTTCACAGATGAGGGAACAAAGGCACAGATAGGATCAGTATGTAGCATTTGCATTTCTTCATTTGGAGTTCTGGCATGTGAGCACCCACAGTTCTTTATTATCTTTTTCCTTCAATGATTTTTAAAAAGGAGGATATTAAAATTGAGATGATAGCCACTTTCCTGCCTCAGGGAAGGATTGTGAAGATAGTTAATGTTTATACCATATACCCCCTCTTTCCCTCCCTGCATCTGTAGGGTGAAACTGCCATTGCTCTGGTCCCCACTACAGTGAAAAGGGAAGGTATCACTCAGTGCTTCTGCCCATGGGCAAGCTCTGGCTGGGAAACAGGCAGTGCCTCAGGCTCTGCCTTAAGCATAAAAATTATACAGGAAATCAGAGAGAAATTCACAAACTGAGATTCATCCCTTCTTCTATGGACTTTGGAAACAGTGATGCCTGGTTACAGTTAATGGCTCAGGTTCCTCTTTTAATTTTGGGTGTAGGTGTGAAGCTGTCCTTCAAAACGGAAATCTCTGTGTGATAGCACATATCCAGAGTTGGTGAATGAAAAAGCTCTTGGTGCACTCTCTTGATAAGATTAATAGAAAAGTCAGGACACACATTAGCAGTGTTTCCCACAGCAGATGCAATTTTCCCTGCCCTCACATATAATGGTTTTCTTCTGTATTCTATGCAAACAAATTACAGATATTGTGAGAGCCACAACTTTAAATTTCTCAGCCTTTTTGCATGCAAAAATCCAGCATTAATTATGCATTTTTGTGTTTAGAGTTCTTCATAGTTTGCTGGAGGGAGGTCTTTGTGATTAAAGGAAGCAGGTTTCATTGAGCCAGACTTGAGCTCTGGTCTGTCCTTTTTTTCACCTCTCCTTAGGGCAAAGACCAACAGCTTGAGGGTGACCCCTTCAAGAAGTTTTTACTGAAAAGGAAGATGAGAAAGGCTGGACAGGCTCTTTCTAATGCTCTGTGCTGGAGCCAGGAAAAGGCAGCTGTTTCTAGCCTTTCTGATGTTTGGGTTTGGTTGGGGTTTTTTTTTTTGTTTGTTTTTTGGGTTTTTTTTTTCCCTTTCCTGGTGGCTGGGATCTAGGCTTGCTGCCATATCTGTTTGTCTGTCTGTCTGTCTCATGTTGTTTTTCTCAGAGAGCTTCAGAGGCCAGTTGCCCATAGTCAGTTGCTGGGAACAGAGGTTGTTCCTTGTATCGTCTTAACTCTCCATGCCAGAATGTTCATGCTTGAATAGGAAACAGCGAGATCTGTCAAAATAGCCCTTTTCTTTAGGGCTCTGAGGCTGCATTCTCCATGGCCATCTGTTCCCTTTCACCCTTTTGGACAATGTTGCTATTTGAAACGAACCACTCTTTGCTCTCTCGCTTTCCCTTTGCCCTCCCCCTGCCCCCCCAAACCTGGGGAAAAAAAAATTGTTTCTGGCCCTGACTGGCCTCTGGAGGATTCAACCATTTTTTAGTCCAAGGATTAAAAGTGATATTTTGCAATTCTTTTATTTTTCACTGGCTTTAAAAAATGTAATACATCTCAGGAGAAAAGAGTCATTGCAGTCAAAAGATCATTTTGGATTTATACATTAGTCTCCACAGAGCACTTTGGTGTCTTGTCGCTGCCTGATGCAGACTACCGTGAAAATTTGGCACATCTTGGAATATTTTGCATTATAGCAGGAGCGGAAGGAACCTCCTATAGTTAAGGGTGTATAACTGTTTCCCTTCTAACCCTCTGTCATCAGTCAGAAACACTTATCAGGATGAAATTTTCCAGTCTTGGTTGTTGTCCAAAATTAAATTTATTTGCTTAATTCAGATAAAGTAAGTCATTCCTTTTTGAGAATGAGATTAAGAAAAAAAAGCATATACCTCCTTTGCTTCAGGATGGGCGACTGTGTTGTGAAGAGAGGGACTGACTAGCTGGGAAACTACTGGAAAGTCTGCATCAGTTAGAGAGTGAAGCCAGACCCCTGTAATTGTCAGTCATTTCAACATCCTGCATGCTTTATACTGCCTCTGTGTGTGTGTGTGCCTAAGTACATAAACATATATGTATTTTCAGCTTTGGAGATGAGTCAGTTCTGAACAGCGAGCCCTGTGGTGTCTGCATGTACTAAAATGTTTTGTCATACATCTTACAGTGAGAGGGAACACATTTTCTCTACATGGGTATACTGGCTGTGCAAAAAAAAAAGGAAAAAAGAAAAGTGAAAGTGTCCAATTAATTTATGTTCAGAAGCTACTCCAAGCTGGGTTTTGAAGAAGCTAGGTCTATATGTAAGGTTTGATCGGCCAGCCCAGAAGAGAAGAGGTTGCATCCTTGTGTCAGGAGCCACTCTGTGCTGAGAAATAGATACAGCCAGAGAAACCAATATTGGCAAGAGCAGACTTGTGGTTAAATGCCAGTTGAGGAATGCCACAGTCAACCGTGATGATACCCATTGGGAGAAATAATTGAATCCGTTGTTGTGTTTGAAAGGCAGAGTTGAAATTGCACGTAGCGGTTTTTTGCATTTAATATTTTCTAACTTTTATGTTCTTAGTCACACAACCAAAACATTCTTCCAGTTCAGCTTTTGTGATTGATAGTATTAAGCACTTGGCCAAATCTGAACTCCAGATGTGAACAGCTGTAATTTGCAAACAGTCATCTCTGTCCCCCAAATGTTTGGCTGACCTCTGTTTCCGTGTTGCAGGCTGAAGGAGGATTGCTTCCTTCTGGAATTTCAGTTTTGATAACTCTGGCTCATGATCCAAGCTTTACAGCTCTAAGATGGTTGTTTTTATTTACACCTAAAGGGAATTATTGCAACTGTAATGTATGGGACCAGTGTTAAGAATGCTGAAGGCTAAATTTTCAAAGAAATTGTGATGGTCATCATGCAAAGTAAAGCAGTTTGCTCAGTTTGAAGTGCAATCTTAACCTGAAGTACTATTTAACACTGCTTTTTAAACATAGTCCTTGTGGATATTAGCCCCACTGTGGAGTTGTAATTATTGCATGTTTCACCTCACTGTATAAAGAAGTTGTCACTAAATTTGAAAATTATTTGGAAAAATACTACTAAAATACTCCTGTGCTCAGGAGTAAAAAGGATGTATAACTTTATTCACTAGTTCAAAGCCATGTTACTAGGCTGTGATCAGAAATTGTTATTCCTTTAGACATTTTATGCTGAGTATATTGAGGAAATCCACCCCAGTGTAGGCTGTTAGCACTAGTGTTAATTGAGCAAACTCAGATGCTGGCAGTGACCTGACTGTAGCAGTACAATGCTCCCTGTGGCTTCTTAGCAGAATATGTTTACCAAGGAAGAGGTCTCAGTGCTAGTGAAAACTAGCCTGCATACACCTACTGTCCTTTTCCATCTGCCATGTGGGCACACAGCATCAGCCCACTCCTTGGGAGATGGGCAGCCGTGTCAGAAATTTCCTGGGTAAATTAGTGCTAATTGGTGCTTTTATTGGCCACTTTGCTGGAGAACTCATTGTGCAACAGAAACTGGACTCTCTCTTCCTCCTACCCCCATTTCCCTGCTGCACTGTGACTGAATTTAAGGTTCAATTGCAGACTGGAGTGCTGCTGCTTTTGCGTGCACTGTGACAGCTTCCTGGGTATGAGAACTAAATTGCCATGACACTGTTTCTTTACCCAGACATATTTTATGGAAAAAAAATGTCGACTGTGGGAACAATCTGCCTCTCAGACCGAAGCATCTTAGCACGACCATATTGCTGTGAACTGCATTGTGAAACTCACTGCAGTTTCAGAGCTCTGTCTCACTCTCCTCCCCCAGCTGTATTAACTTCTGTTCTGCCTTTCTGGGATTCAGCCAGTTAGGCTTGCAGGCTTCAGGCTGTTATGGAGGGGTGAGTGTGACAGCGAGCTTATTCAATTCTAGTCTAGAAAGTTCAGAAGTGACAAATCCAGATGATGGGTAAACATAGCAGAGAGTGATGAAGTTTAGCAGCTGAGATGAACCGTCCTGGGAAAATCAGATATGATAATGCCATGGCTCTGTAGGTCAGAGGGCTGAGGCTTACAGCAGGCAAAGCTTCAGTTGCTCTGACAGTGGGATTCTAAATCTCATTTCTTTATTCAAACCTTAAGGGACCTACATACATGTAATTCTAGCATTCTGCCCCCTCCCTCTTACATACCTTCTGATTAATATCATGGTCTGTTTAATTCCCTGAGGGAACTTAAGCAAAAAAATTACAGCAGTAACTTGTAGCATGATTGGTGAGGTGATAATTAAAAGCATTTTCTGGATCACAGGGCCCTAGCATTGCCAGATGCCATGAATGGGCAAGCTTTGTTTTTCAGCCTATGTATCCTTTATATGTACAAGCAGATAAAATGCCAGATCTGGATTGTTTGGGTTTTGGTTTTTTTTCCTCCCTTAGTTCAATGGTTTGTGATTTTATTGTCTAATCTTGGAGAGACAGGAGCATAGGAGAGGTTCAAAAGAAGAAGCTGCTTTAAGTT